TGAGAACTGGCGACTTTGTAGTACAACTTTAGTACGCGGAGTATCTGGGGAGCTGGAAGATGAGAACTGGCGACTTTGTAGTACAACTTTCTGTGGAGCTGGAAGCTGAGAACTGGCGACTTTGTAGTGCAACTTTAGTGCGCGGAGTATCTGGGTGGGGAGCTGGAAGATGAGAACTGGCGACTTTGTAGTACAACTTTAGTACGCGGATGAGTCATCTCTCGCGGCTGAGTCATCTCTCGCAGCTGCTCTGACGCCCCTGCAGCTGAGTCATGTCTCCCAACCACCCGGCTCTCTTGAGAGGTTGACGCACACACAGACACCCACGCACTGCCTCAACTTACTCGGAGACGCACACACAGACAGAGACTCATACACACACAGACATAGATACACACACACAGAGACCCACACACTGCCTTAACTCACTCGACTTAACACTTCACACTGAACACTTACCAGATAACTCACACTCTGACTTCCTACGTGATGAAAAATGCTTTCGGGCCACTCGTCGTCTAGTTTCTAAGTCACATAGCTCGCAAGCCAGCATGCCAATGGCAACAGGGCTCCGACTCCGACAAAATGTTCTTTATACTTTTGTGGCATGTCATTGTCATTCCGAGCATAGTAGCCGTTCTAGCTCCATTATTTTTTGCGCATTTGGCTTGCGAAAAATGTCCGTTTTGTGGCGCCTCCAACGCAGCAAACCGCTGCTGCAGATGCACAGATTGCGGAGACCTTCCGTGCCACAAAGCGATGCGACATCGAACCTGCTCGGCCCTTTGCTGTCTCCAACTGGTGGGTAAACGGCCGCTGGTCTCCATAAAGGACATTCCTTTCACATGAGTGACTTCTTGACAGAACATGAGCTGGCAAGTCATCAAAGGTGGAGACAGGAAGGTGAGCGCTTGCTGACAGCAGTGGCAGTGGAGCAAGATGGAGAAAGTACACAAGCGGCGGCTCATGTCCGTGAAAAAGCTGCGAAAGGTGGTGGCTAAACTCCTGTGATTCTGCTGGATTTTGCTGCCATGTTGAGGAAGAAAACATGTGTGCGTGGGAACCTTTGCCATTGAATGCAGTTTTCATTTGGCATCATCAGAATGCCTCGTGGAACTCGAATCCCTTGTCCAATCGACCCAGCAAAGCTGACAAAGAGTCTTTGTCCGCAACCAGCCTATCCCACCTTTCAGCTGGTTGCGGAGCCTGGTCCTCGTCTCCAACCGGAGGCTTTCATGCAGTTTGAGCAAAAGGTGAAGCCCTGAGGATAAGTTTTGCACATGATGAAACCCCACAGGAAAGATGGTACCAAGGCTGAACCTTGAAGATAGTTCATGCCAACAAACTCACTTGTTCCTTTGTTCCTTGTGCCTGGGTAGGGGGCCTGCTTGTACCTCTAGCCTTTGCCACACTAAACTTGGATGTGCACAAAAGCAGTGCGCCTGCGACAAAATCTGCAGGCCAAGGCAACCAAAACGAGTGTCTCCATTTTCCCTTTGCCCCAAATTTCTCCTAACTGAGACCAAATCCTCCATAAAGAGATTCTCCAATCGTGTCGGCGCTCAACGGTCGTCGTTTAGGAGCGGCTCACAGAGCAGCAGAGAGAACGCATTGTACATGACGCTGAAAAGTTGATCGACCCTCGAAAGAACTTGACGAGCGTACTACTAGGAACAAGGGCATCGCTACTAGTAACAAGTGCCTTACTACTAGTAACAAGAAGCTAGTAGAAACAATAAGTAAATAGAATTTAATTAGAATTAGTACTTAGTGTTTGGTGCTTTGTGGCTTTGAAAAGAACCTCGCCCAGGAAAATCCTCGGGCCTACAACGTTCTTTGTGCCAACTGTGAGCATACCACGAACTTGGTTCCAGCCTTGGCTGTTATCATGCTGCGAAGACCCACAAGCGCTTGCAAGTAGCCTGACAGGTCTCTGGAAAACAGCAGTTTACGTCGCCAGAAGTTCACTTTTTCATTTGGAGCCTGAGCTGCAGCTGTACGGCACTGTGTATTTCCACGAGAAACAACGCAAGGAGCATCTGCCGATATCTTCTCACGATCATTGGGCTTGCAACACTTCATGCCAGCTGCCTGGGATGTGGCACTTTCATGACAGCACAGCATGGCTCACAGATTTCAAATCTAAGCATGAAGGGCGCTATTCTGGGCTGAGCAACCCGCGAGAGAAGTTAAGGTTGTGACAATGCAATGCTACAGCCGGTATTGCTTGCAATATCCGTTATGGGCCCGAGCCATAGCAGACAAGCGGCAACTGCACATGTTTGTTCACAGTATTTCCAGGCTTTGGCTGCGTATTATCTTTGTACAGTTTCAGCCTCAGACCGGTAGGACACTTTGCATCACGCGGCATGTTTCCTTTACTCTTCCATTGGTGCAAGAAGCTTTTCGAAGTATGTATATGTGTTTCTTGACCTGTATGTGTGTTTCTTTCTACTTTTGTGTTTGCTTTTTGTTCTCGTTTCTCGTTCTAGAATTGCTCGTCTCTCTTTGCCTCTCTCCCCAGCCCAGGCTTTGCCAGTCCTTGCCCAGATCATTGTGCAATATGGTCGCCTCGCGTTGGGAACCGAGCGAAAAGGCGTCCAGCGCCTTACACTGCAAGGCTTCGTGAAAAGAACTTGAAAAATACAATTGGAATAACAAATAGTTGTATAACTAATTGGCAAATTATTCCAAGGCAATTCACAAGTTAAGTTGGAGCAACTTAGTCCGCTTGAGGAACACGGTCTACCACGGGTGGCGAAAAAGTTTGATCTCCAGAAATGATGTCTACCACCTCTTGGTCAAGGATCGTGAGATGCCGTTTTTGCTTTTTCTTTTCGTTGTGTTTTTCCTGGTTGTGTTGTTTGTAGAGTGAATAGGTTTCAACCATTACAAAATCACGTTTCGTTTCACCTCCTCACAGTTGGGTTGCATTGATCCTCAGGAGCTTTGCCGAGCCATTTTCAACGGAGCGCTTGCTTTCGGGTTTCTTTTGCACGGGCTTCAGATAGTGTGTGGGTGATTTGGATTTGTGATCTTTAGCTGAGGGTTGAGAGAAGTCTTGGTAGCTTCTTGTTCCTAGTAGCGATGGCTTCCAACCTACTTGCGATGGCTAATATTATGTCGGGCACGCCAGCCATAGATACAAGGAGCCAAAATAGTTTTATAAAGCAAAAACAAAGCAAAAAAAAGCAAAAGGCAAAGCAAACAAAAACGCAAAAAAATGTAGCTGTGCGTATTTGTCGCTTTTTTTTCACCGTTTTTTCGCTTTATGTTCGCTTTTTTTTGCTTTTTTTTTTCGCTTTTTTTTCGCTTTTTTCCTAGGAGGGTACAGCAAAAACATATTTGTCGCTTTTTTTCACTTTTTTTTCGCTTTATTTTCGCTTTTTGTTCGCTTTATTTTCGCTTTTTTTTTCACTTTTTTTTCGCTTTTTGTTTTGCTTTGTTTTGCTTTTTGCTTTGTTTTTGCTTTGTTTTTGCATTTTCATTTGCTTTTATTTTGCTTTTTTTTCACTTTTTTTTTCACAAAAAAATTATTTGATGGTTGGCCATGTATGGCTGCCATCGCCCAACATAAGGCTAATAGCGTCCTTGCTACTGAGTGTTTCAGTTCGTCAGTTAGGCAATGTTGTAAAGTCTGTGGCCTTGAGGTGGGCTCCCGACATGTTGCAATTTGCGAACCAAAGGCCAGGGTGCCACAGCAAAATTTCGGATACGACGCACATGGTGAACATGGTGACTGACCAAGCTGCACCGTTTGAACCGATAACTGCTGGCTCCGCGTGAGCAACAAATGTAACAGGAAGACAAGGAACGCTCTGGGAAGCTTAGAGGGGAATGCCAGGGGATTCTGGGGCGCTCAAGTTCACGGCGATTTTTCGATTGCTGGTCTTACAGGTATCCTGTGCGCATCTCCATCGCCATTGTGTTTGCTTACTTTGCCTGGAGCTTGAAAAGAAGGCCATTGAAAGAGAACGCAGGCGAAACGATGGAGGTTTCAGAAGTCGATAAGTGGTTTGCCAAACCGAAAGACCAGAAAGCGATCAAGTGAGGCCAGCGACGCGCTCTTCGCACTCTTAGCGCAGGCAGGAAAAGACGAACCGTTTTCATGTCTCTTTCAAAATCGCTGTGTTTTGGCAAGTGTCCTTTGCTTCGCAGGTCGTGACACGGATCCTGCTTCACAAGTTTGGCAGGTTTTGGCTCATTGGTGGAAGTGACCACACGCCAGTCACTAAGAGAGTGACGACAGCGACTCAAAGAGACGGAGCAAGCAAGCAGGGCATGAAAAACAAATCAATATCGGAAGGAAGGCAGGTAGGCAAGGAGTGAGGGAGGGATGGAGGTAAGGAGGGAGGCAAGGAAGGCAAAGAAAGCAAGGCGGAAGAGGGGGAGACAGGCAAGGAATGTTCGAAGGAATGAAGGAAGGAAGTCTGCTTCGCCGTTGGTGCTATTTGTATCCTTGTGACGTTGGATTGAAAAGGTCCTTGTGTTAAAACACGGTTCAAAAGAACCTGAGCAGCACTCCAATGTATCATACCTTTTTGTGAGCCGCCCGAGGGTAAAATATGTAAGGCAGCAAGGAACCATTCCAATGTAGCATACCTTTTGTGAGCCACCCCTGCCCATGGCCCGCATACTGGAACATTCAAGATCCATAAGCCCAACAAAAGCGATACGGGCATGGCCCACCTTCACCTGTTTGTTTTGCCCTGCCATTATATCACAATGCCACCCAGGTGGCGGAGATTGCCAACTATCAGTTGCTTTCTTCGCTGCGTGACAACGCCATGTGAACCACCTTGACCTGCTTGCTGAACTATTTCACTGCTTTGCTTAGCTGGTTTCTCTGCTTTGCTTTGGCTCGCCTTGCCGTAGCAAGGCCATGAAGATGGATGACATGTTCATGCCACACACAGGTGGAAGACATACTCCACCTTGTACACCGCACAGGTGGATGGCGGACTATAAATACCCCAGGCTCACCTGCTGGAGGTGCCTGCCACAAAGGCATGGGGCCCGCTTGTGCACGCGGAAAACGCATGGCTTGAAGACTAGGATTACGTGGTTGCCATGACCACGTGGCAAAGCTGTGAGCCACCCGCCAATAAATTTGGAGCAGGAAGGACCTACTTCAATGCGGCAAACATTTTGTGATCCACCGTTTGTGAGCCACCGGATTGCAAAATGGAGAGGAAGAAGGGGATATTCCCACTGCAGCAGACATCATGTGAGTCACGCGAAGCTAAAATTTAGAGCAAGCAGTAGCATACCGTTTGTGAGCCTTGCAAGGATAGTGTTAGAAGGGCAAGGTGCCCAATCTAGCGGGCGAAGTGTCAGTGAAATGCAACAGTCCTTCTGTGAGGCACCCTGCAGCTACTTTATTTCGTGTTTGATCACCATAACAATGTTTTAATAATCCCTCGGTATAAAAACAACATTTTTGGGACCCCCTGGCCAGCAAGCAGAGCAATGCCATGCCTTTCTTTTCGTCCACGCCGAAGCGGGGCGACCGTGTCGAGGTGGGAAGAGGAGCAACGACTTGCCGATGCGACGCCGAAAGAGAAGGATGAGTAGGACGACAAGTGTGACCTCCCTTTTGTTGATCTGAACAACGTGGCAACTTATAGTTCATGGATGTAGCTAGTAGATGCTAGTAGTTCTTCGATCAAAACACAAATATAAAGAAAACATCAACTCAAAATCATCATGTTGGAGGTCCCATCATTTACCTTTGCCACTTTGTGGCCAGCGGTTCGACAATGTCGACGACTAGGTTCAGCGAGAAAAGATTCGAAAAATGTGCAGAATAGGAACTTGGCACAACTTGGCTAATAATGTGCTCATGACTCAAGTTGTGATTTTGGGATTCTGTAACAGTTGAGCGCTATTGCTTTCATGCTCGGGTGGCACTTTTGTAGCGGCAGCCATGGGACCCTCGCTGAAGGTGCGGGACCGTCCTTGTGTCTTGCTAAGCTGCTAAGCCAGACAAGAAGGTCTAGTGCCTTTGAGTTCGAGGCGAAAAGTCCCACAGTTCTCCGGCTTGCACGTTTCTCAGCGAGGTAAATCTGACCTTTGTGAGAAACCTTGTGACATAATATTGTGTTTGTGTTTTTCCTTGGGTTGCTCCAAGACCCAGAGCATCGACAAGGGGTATGAGTTCATCGGAGTCTGAGGTGCCAAAATTGGAGAAAGTATGAAAGCTAATTTGGATCCTTTGTTTCCCAATGTGTCTCAATGAATAGGTTTTTGTAAGCTGAAAGTTACGAGCTTGAGTCGTGGAAGACAGGCTGAAGTGAGGACAGTGAGGACAGTGAGGAGAATTTCACGGATAAGTTTGGACTCAGAGGACTCTGAAGAGGAAATACAAAGAGAGAAGACGAGACCCCAGCAAGAAGAAAAGAAAGGAGAAGACGTCTTGACGGTCACAAGGAACGTCACAAGCGTCAGAAACGACAGTCAGACAGGAAACAAGGACGAGGAACACGAAGAGAGTAAAGAGAGAAACCGAAGAAGCCAAGACTTTCAAGAAGCGAGCAAAGCCCAAGGAGAAGATGCAGGAGAGCCTGCAGATAAGGAAGACTGGGAAGACTTGAATGGAAGCGGTGAGAAAGATAGAACTGAAAAGGATGAAAAGAGGGAGGAAGTTGAGAATGAAAGAGCAAGAATAAAAGGAAAAAAGGGAGACTGGGAATCTGAAGAGAAAATGGAGAAGATGTTCAAGAACGAGAAAGAAGAACAAAGGCGAGAAGAAAGAAGAGCAAAAGAAGAAAACAAAGACGAGAAAGAGAAAGATCCGAAAGAGAACGAAAGAAAAGAGGTGAGGCACACAGAGGGCGAGGTGCTGCTGGCGGTGCCAAGGATGCCTTTTGGTCCTGTTGGAGGTTGTTTGGATTTGTCCCGGTTTTGTTTGCCTTCTCTGTTGCTTTTTTTGCTTGTGTCTTTTAGATATTGTATGTTGCTTTTTGTTGTTTAATTTAGCCAGTATTGTTTAATTCTTCATAATTGTTCTACCCTTCGACCTTTCTCTGTTTATTTTTTCTTTGTCTTCCGGCCTGGTCTCTAGACCTTTAATTGTTTCTTAATTGGTTCTGTTCCTTATGTGTTTTCTTTGGAGTTCTTTAGACCTTTTAGATGCTTCCTTTTTTTGTTTTTACACCTGTAGAACCTGCAGACCCTTCTTTTAGCCGTTTTTTCTTCTTTTTGAGTCTGATTCTTTAGGCGGATTGTTCTTTCCTCTCTGCACGTTTTTGTTTTTCAGGCCGCTGAGAGGAGGTGAAGGTTGGCCTTTTTCGGGGCAGGGGCCTGGTTCGTTGTCTTGGCCTTTTTCTCAAGGCCTTTAGACTCTTGTTCTCCTTCCCGCCTTCTCCCATCCTCTTTCTCTCATCAACTCCTTCCTTCCTCCGCTTCGTCATCCATTTCAATCAAATCAACACCTAGACTTAATCAACTCAACCAATAACTCAATCAACTCAACTCGACTTGCCTCATCATCTCAACACTACCACTTACCTCATTGTCCAACTCAACCAACTCCGCTCTCAGCGTGTGTTTGTCTGTGCCTGCGGCTGCGTAGAGGGGACGTCAACCCAACTCATAGTAGCGATGCACTTGTTTCAACTTCGCCTACTTGACTTTCCTTCTGTACCCCCTTCTTTCTGGCCGTTTCCCATCTCTTCCTTCGTCTCTACCAGGCATGAAATCTTTCAACTGGCATTTCTTTATTTGTCCGCTTCTTTCGTCTTTTCTGGAAGGCTTGACATGTTTGGTTATCCGGTCCCTTTCCGGAACTTTCTTTTCGCTTTGTCTTCTTTGCTGCGCTTTTCCCTTGGACCTGTAGACCTTCTTTGTGTTCTTTCTTTCTTTGGCATCTCTTTTTGTTTCCATTCGGTCCGTTCCTTTTTTTTGGTAGAACCTTTGGGCCGTTTTCTTCTTACAATTGTTAGACCTACCTTTAGGCCATTTTAGACCTGTAGACCTTCCGGCAAGGCATGTCTTCTTGCATCCTTTCTTGTCAACTTGGTACCTTCTTCTTTTGGCCTTTTTGACCTTTCTTGTAGTAACAAGTGCATCGCTACTAGTAACAAGTGCCTTACCACCTTTAGCCTAAAGACCTGACCTGTTTTGTCCTTTCCTTCCTTTTATTTTCCTTGCATTCACCTGTCCTCTCTTGCGTTGTCAAGCTTCAGGACTGAAGAAAAGCCAGCCCGAAGCCTTCCACAAGGCAGCAGTGCCAAGAGGAGTGGCTGGCGCTTCAAAGAGAAGGGAAGCGCGGACGAGAAGAGTGAAGAGAGAAGAGATAAGACGAAGGTAACACGACAAGACAAAAGCCCGTTACGCCTGCTGCTCAGTAAAGCCGAAGGCAACGCTACCACCATACCAGTGAGTTAAGTGACAAGTGAGCTTTGACCACTTGCTTTTGTGTTTATTCTGTTTCGAAAATTCTAGAAAGCACTGTTCCTCTAAGAATTGCACACCAGCAAGCAGATAGCCTGCGATGAGGTTCAAACCTTCCAACAATGAAAGGCAACAAATGCCCTGCTTATGGCCCTTTTACCCTGCACATGATGCAGCCCTTTTACTGCTGGTTCATGGCCTTGCTAGTGGAGCACCTCACATACCAGCAGTTACTAGCAGTCACGCAGCCAGTTGAAACCCTTTGGATCGCGCCTTCACAGGTACCGTCCGCATGCATTCACTTTCGATTAGAGCCGTTTGCGCAGACTTTTGCCGATGTTTGTCCCAACAACCACCAGTGGTTACCACTGGTAGCCTACCCTAGTAGTCTACTAGGACTTTGCTCGTGTTGCAGACAACAACTGAAGGCTTTACGTCCACCTACATGCCGAGATTCTGTTGCTTTTCTATGCTTTTCTATGAAGCAGTCTTGGGCCTCATCCCCTTTATGACCCTTGAAACTAGCAATAAGAATATGTTTAGAAGGTGTTTTAAGCAGTTTTCTTTCGGTCGTTGTTTCGTTTTGATTTGTTCGAGTGGTTCTTTTGGACAGAACTCGCGAACGAAATCCCGAGGCCCAAAGCCGTGGACTAGTCAGGCCATTCGAGCGCATAGCGGGAGTGGGAAGAACATGGAAGAACCGAAAGAAACACAAAGGAGAGGCTAGTAGTAACAAGTGCCACGCTAGTAGTAACAGGTGCCTTACTAGCAGTAACAAAGAAGCTATTAGTAATTTGAACAAAATGAAAAAATTGGCCGACTCCTTTGCCCCTTCCCTACTTAAGTAGGTGGCTACTTAATTGAGGGCGAGGGCGAACGCTACTAGCTACTGGACGCAGAATAGCTCACGCACTATTCATTTGGTTCCTACGATTTCTTTGGGGGGGCGTAACTTACAGAATCAGTTCAGTGCTGTGTCCTTTTTCTCCTTCCTTTCTTTTTGTTTAGACCTTTGTTCGGTGTTCCTTCCTCGGTGAGGCCCGCAGACAGTTTCTTGGCGAAAGAGCATCGCCGATGGCGCTTTGATCCTGTTTAACAAAAATCAACGTGGCTTCAGGGACCTGGACCCTCATCTCAAACCAAGGTCTGAAGGGGAAGCTGAGATTTCAGTGTCTCGGCAGACTAGACAACAAACCAAGCAAGACCACCGGACGCGCTTATCAAATCATGATGTGTGTGGTAAAGTGGATACGCATTAACAAGATTTGTTGCCGACGGGAAGACTTGGTGCGCGTGCGCATACATGCGCCGCATCAACAATAGACAATTCGGTGAGGTTTTTGAACGACTCCACAGCAGCGCCAAAAGAAAGGTGGGAATCTGAAACGATCACAGTTTGGAGTTGGAGGCCATCGCTCGTAGGTTGGAGGCCAGTGCTTCTAGGTTGGAGGCCATTCCAATTAGGCTGGAGGCCATGGCCATTGCTATTAGGTTGGAGAACGAGACGTCACACTTGACTTGGGTCCTCAGGTCGCCCTGAGCCCTGCCAAAGAAATGAGAGCGAAGGACTCTGAAGTCAAGGCCCGGAGGACTATGGAGGACTCAGGGGTCCATTGGTTCTTCACCCCCTTCTGGAGCCACTTCGTGACTGCATTTGTGCGGAGATTCTGTTGTGAGGTCTTCATGCGGTTGTATGAAGACGCGTTGATGAAGAGAGAGGCACGCGGCACACTGCACAAGAAGACATTGTCATCTTGAAGTCTTCAGGAGATGGCCAAGAGGAGAGAAGCGAAGGAGCAAAAAGAGATCACCGATATGGAGCGCCAATTGCAAACCAAACAGGCGGACACCGGTGGACGCAACCCATTAAGCGTCCGAAAGGGTCATTAAATTAATAGGAGGACATAGAAGGGCTAAGGAGGGCTATAGTCTTTGCGTGGTTACCTGAAAAGACGCTGTTGCCCTGAGAATCCCATGGAATCTCGTCAATTTTCCTTCC